ACTCACAAGGTCGCACTGTGAGTTTTACCAACACGGTTATCATTATGACCTCTAATGTTGGATCACAATATATTCTGAGCACGGATGATGACACGTTGCCAAAAGAGTTGGCTTATGAAACCATAAAACAGCGTGTAATGGATGCTGCAAGATCCATCTTCCGCCCTGAGTTTATGAATAGAGTTGATGAATATATTGTTTTCCAGCCTTTAGACCGTGAGCAAATAAGTAGCATTGTCAGGTTACAGGTAATTTATATTTTTGTTACCACATCCTCAATGTGCTCAATTGTACATATCTCCTTGCTTCATTTGTTCATATTGATTGCCCATACTTTTAAGGATGGAAGTCTTAATGAATTAAGAGAAACTGACATTTTATCGGCTCTAGTCTTAAAAAACTGAATTTGAAATCCATCATGTGAAGTTACAAGAATTGCAACTTCATTAAGCCATATTGAATGTTTTGCATGGTGCTGTTACGTTGTTTTAACATTCTTAATAACATTTTTTCCTTTGTGGTATATTACAGTTGGAGCGTGTGCAGAAGAGAATTGCAGATCGCAAGATGAAAATCCAAGTGACAGATGCCGCTGTCCAACTTCTTGGAAGTTTGGGTTATGACCCCAATTATGGTGCTAGGCCAGTGAAGCGAGTGATTCAGCAGAATGTGGAGAATGAACTTGCCAAGGGTATTCTCAGAGGAGAATTTAAGGAAGAGGACGCAATTTTAATAGACACAGAACTCACTGCATTTACCAACGGCCAACTTCCCCAGCAAAAGCTTGTTTTTAAGAAACTTGCAGCTAATTCAGAATCAACCACTCAAGAAGACTCTTCCTTGGAACCCTTTCCACAGGCTCCGTGAATCCTTCTACTGCTCCTTATTTTTCACTTCACGTGCGAATTTGAGTATACAGTTTCCTCATACAGTTGAATAGTTGAACAATGATCCTTGTGCAATTTGCATCTCTATAAATATTTTCTATTACCAATAAGAAAACATTTGTCACTAAAAAATAGTGTAAATATGTATTGTTACCCCTCTTTAATGAGCCACTTCCTGCATAGCCAGGTCACCCCTTTAATGATACAAGTGATGTACATGAGCAAGGCTGAGTATTATTGAGTGTTTAGTCCCAGCTTTGATAAGAATTAAAGCTTGGTTCGAGAAGCATTAAACTGTTCCTGCTGGGAAGATATAAACGAAAAGGCTGTATTTGACTAAATGATCTAGTTAAGTACTTTTTCAAATATGTTTACTCGATGAGAATTTGGAGTTTACTAACAAATGAAAAAACTATGATATATTTTTCCTAAACTTCAAATGTATACACCTACCCAGACCGAGGGTTGAATACCATGTTTCAATTAAATCCAATTTTTTGCTATGTTTCCCCGGGGAGAGGGTTGGATAGTGGATTCATATAAACAAATACCAAAGTATGAATTATTGCACACGCATATTTGTTAGGCAGAGACACCACGTATCAATGAATATACATGGGATAATACATATTTCACATTAACAACCTTCTGTATAAGATTTCATTCGAAGCATTGATCAATATCTGTGTCATCGTTGGAAACGTTGGTTGGATGAGACTGAAGCATCAAACTCCATAGTAAATTAATGCCATATTTCAGGTTCTGATTAGCTGAATTGACCCAAGCGTTTACCAGCAGAGTTTTCAACCAATTTGTGAAGAATTCCTGCCATCCTGTCCAAGGATAATAGGACTTGTCAAAATGTCAGGTCTTTAAGAATAATGTAACTAATGATTATGCATTAAGATTTTCTACTCGTAAATATTTTCTATTTCTAAGATAAACTTATTATCATTCCCTGAAGCACGAGTTCAATACATGTATATTTCATGTAGTAATTGTTATTTAGAGTTCATAAAAAATAATTAGACTGGTTAATGTTGTTTAGTTACAAAATGATAATAGAGTACTAAAATTGCTTATGAAGCTGTCTTAAACATTGTTTGATATACATATTTAAAATTTCCCTATATTTTCTTAATCGTTTGGTACTGTGGAAGCTGTTAGTACTTCTGCGTATTTTTAGCAGATCGACCAGTCATTCCATATATCACAATCAGCCATAAATTATGCATATAAGTAATTACAAAACTCTAGACAGGGTTCAAATTATCGAACATCGTAGTTTACTAGGTTATATTCCTCACATGTACCCGTGTTTTATGCTTCTGAAGAAGTTGTTAACCGAGTTCCCACTTATACTACTCCGTCAACCACTCCAAGGTCATGTTTCTCCTTCATTTATCTTTTGAAAACTATTTATTATGAGTGAAGACAGTTCCACAAATACTTCATTCGTGAGACAAATGGACAGTCAAACAGTCAAACAGTCAAATCAATATAATCACAAAACTCCATAAATCACTTGATGAGGAAGGAGATGTATATCCTTATTTAGCTAGGTAACGAATGAGTTCGAGTAAGAAATCCGTTGTTAAACGATTAACGTCAAATGAAAACTAGTTAAATTAGTTTGACAATAGTTAAATTTAATCTTATTTCAGTAGCCTATTGTTGGCAGCTATTATTTTTCATTATGATTTCAAAGTTTTCCTAATACAGTTATACAGCTAAATTTTCAACTTGTGAGACGACTTGTAAACTAAGGCCACTGTCACTAATCATATTCCAATCATAGTATATAGGAAATACTAAAAATATTAGCATTTAGCCATGAAAGATTTCGGCTAGCAGATACGCAAGAAAGGAGTTGATAGCCGCAGCCATACCATTCGAATTTAACAGATTTTACTCGAGTAATACTGTCAACTGCCAATCTCTCAGTCTAACAAATTGAAGGAGGATAGATATGCTGCAAGTCGTACCGGTAAGTGGTATCTAGTTTGTACAGTAATCAAAACCACTTTTGAACTGATAAGTTATCTCTCCTATGTGATTCTACACGCATTAAAATGTTTCAGATTCAATCAACAAAATATCGACAAATATGGAACTTATTGATAATGCACCCAAACATAAATACCAAACAGGATTTTTTATGCTAAAAATCTAAATCAAACAAGTACATTTCTATTTCATCGAAAATTGCATTTATGTTAGATCAAGTTCACTTAATGCTGAGCTATTGTGTTGGACTATGTTTTGATGGTTGGTAGGGATTGCATTGAGTAGAAAAGAATGTTTCTTCCTATCCTAAATCAATCCTACAGTGGGGGCAAGCAGAAGGCGCAGAAATAGAATTTGAAGCAGGAGAGCAAATAATAGAACTTTAGAGGAAGAGTAGGATTGTTAAAAGAATTATGTAGTACAAAATAAATATTTGGTTTTGGGTGTAAGTACCACTGTCCCCACCACCTCCCCATCCAGGAGGCCAATGAACTTTCCACAAAGATCCCTAATATTAAATCGATAGCAATTGGATAGATACTTTAAAGTTGTTTAACTTACTATTGAAAATAAAGACTAAACCCATGATTTGAATACTAACAAATATGATAAAATTTTGCAGTATTTAACATGCGTATTAAATGTGTCACAAGAAATAAGTTTGTAGTTCCAGATCGGATTAGTTGAACTTTATATAATGAATAATTATAAAAATGCATCGTCAAGTAAATTTCAAAATATGACAATATATATATATATATATATATATATATATATATATATATATATATATATATATATATATATATATATGCTGACAAAATTAGAATGTGAAAAATGAAGGGAATCTCATGTGCAACATCAGAGTTCAAATACTATATTGGAATGGACATATACTATAAACTGCAATAAGAATCAAGCAACACAACAAATAATATTAAGACTTTTTAAACAAAGATGAAGCACATATAAGTATATCAAATTTGTTTAAGATATTTGTAGAAGAAAATATCATCATATTTACGGAAAGAGGGAAACAATAATATGGTACAAAGACTTATATGGAAAATATGTGAACCAGACAATTTAAGAAATATCCTGCATTACTAAAAGAAAACTTTATGCCAAAAAAAAAATCCAAGAAATATCTAGAATATCATATTACTAAAGAAATGTTTCCAAAAAATAATAAAAATTAGGATTTCAATAATCACATCTTGAAGCCTCTAAGAAGAGGACCTCATTGATTGAAGAGAATATACAATAAAACAATTATAATACAATCTTATTAGTCACTTGTTTTATCTTTGTAGTGAGTGTTTTTTTTTTAAAGATCTAAGCTAGGAAATTCACTCTTATATCTTTTACCGTGAAGTAAACCTTCAATTAATAATATTCATTATTTATCTGCTCTGAGAGAGTTATTTCAGCAAAGATAGAAAATTTATTGTTATATCCTTCAATCAATAAAGCAATCTTTCGTTTAGGAATAAGAGTTATTTCAGTCAATGACATTTTTTACTCCTTGATAACCAAGAGAAGCTTGGTGTACTCGGTGTTGATTATAGTAGAATCCTTTAAGTAGCCCTTAGTTGGAGTAAACCAATAAATGTGTATTGTCTTTCTCTACTTCCTTACCTATTTGTTTTCAATGCTTAAAATTAGTGAAAAATTTCTGTCAAAAATATTTTTAAAGAGCTCTATTCAAAACCCCATTTCTAGAGCTAATATGTACTTTCAAATACTACAAATGTTGAAATACAATATTCATTTTCATGTTTATATATATATATATATATATATATAATGTTAGATTTCTTATAATCTCTAATTAACATAATGAATTATACACTTTATAATCTCATTTACAAAATTATATATTATTCCATTTTAAAAGTAAACATTAACTACAACTAAAACATTCAATTAAGTTCCAGCTAATGGCATTCTAAGTGGGTTTAGTTCTCAATGAAAACCAACTAATACACATTTCAAACCTTATTTCCATTTTATTGAAATGTAAACTGCTAATGTAATCAGGAGAATAAAATAAATTATGATTTTCCAGATAAAAAAAAAAAATACCTGATAATTGTTTAGGTGTTATTACAATTCAGATGCCCCTTCTGAATCGGACAGTGGTAACAGGGTACATATCCCGAGCATATGGCCATTGAGGCAGACATAATACTCAATACAATCATCATAAGAACCCAATCTGAAACTCGCACTTTGAGGAATCATTTTGGCTTGTAGCATGCTCCACAACTTTGCCTTACAATAAGGGCAGACTTCACTTGGATGGAGCTTGGCACCTTTATTAATAAGCATCTTTCTCACCTTTGAGGTTGCAAATGACTTAAAAATTCCACGGAAGAATCCTACATCTCCTTCTTCCCCTTGGTCAAGATGTTCACAGGGATCAGACACATAGAGAACATCAGTTCTGCATTGTGGCAAAAGAAAGCTCTTTCCTGATGTTCTAGAAAATCGAGTTTGATAAACAAAGTGACCAGGGATCTGAATGCTATTGAACAAGCCACCTTTTGTACATCCTGAACAGTATAAAAGCAGTTTCCCTAAGGCCCTCCAGTTCCCATCAACGATATGACTCCCGTTAGATTGCAGATCCTGCAACATCTTTGGAGCTCTTGTTCGACAAAACTCTTTCCATAGAACTCGCTTGGCAAGATCATCAAACCATTTGCACACGCATGATAGAGTTGCAATTAGCTTGGGATTCCAATTCAAAGCATGAAATACTAAGAATATCACATCTTCACTTAAATGCCCTTTGGTACATTGACAGCTAGCCGAGTGTATGCACCGGTACTGCTTTGTGAGAATCATTTTCTTCACCTAGAAAAACTAAATAAAATTATCAGTTCATGACAACTCTTTGTTGGAAAATATTAGGGTATTCATAAAGTTGACAATTCCAAATACCAAATTTCTTAATTAAATACTTCATGGTAATGAGGAGAAATCAAGCTAACATATGAAGCAATGAATACTGAACAATGCAACCAACAATGATTATACATTTGAAGCAAAGAACTTACAATAAAGAATTAACCTAAACAAGTAGCTTTCTATGCTACTCCAAAGTTAGCTCAAGAAAAGAATATAAGAAATTCTCTTCTCCTTCCAATGCTTTGGTATGGGGTGGATTTCCAATGAATAGTTACTTCGATTACTTCTAGTCATGCAATCCATAAAATACCTTCTCTGTCTCCAAACTGAAAAGGAAGGCTGCAAATTAGAGTGTTTCTTTTCCCATTTTCAGTTGATATATTTTATTAGAAGTACAAAAATAACATGTTTTTATTTCGCTCAGTATATGCAGAACAAGATTATTAATGGGACCGCAAGGTATCAAAAGTGACAATCAATGAATCAAGAGGCTTTGGACCAAGGGGTGAAAATTATAGGTGGTGTTGTGAGACAAAAGCATGGAACATAAGGTTAAGATTAAAAGGGAGAGTTATAAAGCAAAGTCCTTGTGTAAAAGTCTGAAAAATAAAGAAAGCAGAGGTTACAGCACTTGACAGATTATAGAAAATCAATGATATGGCTCAGAAAAGAATGTTTCTACCTAACTTAAATCCATCCCATGTGGCTTCCAAGGAAAGAAGTATATACGAGCTTGTTATAGGTATGAAAAAGAAAGACAAGACTTGAACCAAGTGAAATGCATTATGAACAAATAAGCTAAAAAGTTGTACTGTTTAAGTCATGGAACAAGATACAAGGAAAAGTGTTACTTTCACAAGCTATTGAAAAATGAGAGAGTTTATTTCATCAGTATAGGCTAAACTAAACAGTTAAGAAGGATGACCAAAATTATGCTTCTTACAGTAGACTACAGGAGTCTGAGGTAAAAGAATCAAAGAAGAGAATGAATAATGAAAAAAATAGTCATAACATAACACCTATTGAAATACAAAAGGGTTAAGGAGACATACATGAAATATACCACAAGTATTTATCAAGATTGTAAGTCTAAGGTAACATCGGACAAGTTAGGGAGTACTTTCACCCCTATCTATGAGAATAAGAGTGACATACAAAATTGTCAAAATAATAGTTATATTAAGCTAATGAATCATACTAAGATGTTATGGGTAATAGGGTGTCAAAATAGGCTTAGCCTAATGAGCCAGTATGAAAGGCTCGAGAAATAAGTCAAACTAGACAAAAAAATTTGTAGCTTAAATTGAATAAGCCTATTTTAACCCAACCTATTTAGACCATGACCTAATAGGTCAAGCTAACTCGTAAACTTATGGACAACTCATTTTATAAAATAATAATAATAATTTTTAAATAAAATAAAATTAGTTTATTAAAAATTATATATATTATAAATTAATTTGACATAGATTTATTTATTCTAAGTACGTGTAGGGATGACAATTAAACCCATACCATGGGGACCAATCATCCCTTCCCCAGAGTATGGGGGAAAACCGAGTTAATTGAGATCGAGGCCAAAGGCGGGGACAGGTTTTCCCCACTTTAAAAAGTAGAGGGAGGGGATGAGTACTGCAATCCCTACCACAACCCCATCCTCGCACCCAACTTTATATTTAAATTTAAATTTTAAAAAATTAATATTTTAAAATTAATCTTTTTCTTTTTTCATTATATATAAGGTCATTTTTTTTATATTTAACCCTTTTTACTTTTCTTCTACCCACTTTTTAATTCTTTTGTCTTTTTTAATCTTTTATATCAATTAGTTCATTACATTATTCTCTTTATTCTTACCTTTCACTTTTTCACATTTCCTTAATTTCTCTAATCAATTTGTTTTTTTCAATCTTTTCAACCAATTTGACAAAGCCAGATAGTTTTTTGTTCTTCCATATTTTTTTCTAAATATTTTACATAAATCTTAGTAATAACTAATATTATTTTATTTATAATTTATCTTTATTAGGTTTTGTTATATCATATTTTTTGAATCTTATTATTCTTATTTGTCATATATCAAATTTTATTTTAATAAAATAATTGTATTTTAAAGAATTAAAAGAATTGGTAATTTAAACTTTTATTACTTTGAATTAATTAAATAAGAATTAACTTATTAAATAGTTTCTTATAAACTATATATTTCATATTTTAAAATGACAACTTGAAAAATAAATTAACTTATATATATAATCAAATTTTTTAATACAATACTATTATTATTATTATTTTTATTATTATTATTATTATAATAATAATAATGTTATAAGTATTTTATATCTATATAAAGAAAAAATAATTAAATATTTCTTTTACATACATATTTTAATATAAATATAATAAATTAAAATATATATTTAATTAATAATAATTATAAATTGTAAAATTATAAATATTTATTTATGTATAAAAATACATAAAAATATTAAAATTAGTTTATTATATGTATAATTATTTTTTTAGAAATAATGTAAATCGGGGATGGGACGAGAACGGAGAAACTTGAAACCCGATGGAGACTTAATTTATAACCCGAGTGGGGATCGGGGACGAGCACGGTTAAAAAAGTTGGGGACGAGGGATAGGGGTCAAGGAGGCCAAACCCACCCCCACACCACCATGTTGCCATGCCTAATTCTAGGAGTAAATATGATAATAAATCTTTAAAAATCACTTATTCCAAGATTTAATGATTAAGATTAATTATTATTTTAAATTAATAAATTACTAAAAATAAATAATGATAATAAGAAGTAAGCTTTTAATTCTTATTTTGAGATTGAATATATGCATTCTCTTATAATTTATATATTAAGTCATTATATTTTAAACAAAAACTAATTTATAAATAAAATTTAAATTTTCAAATTATATTTTAATTTTTATTTACATATTTTTTAATTAATTGATTTTGTATAGATATATTAATATTGAAAAAATAAAAAAAATCAATCAGGCAAAAATTGGTTCGTTAGCTCATTGGTCTAACATAAGATCATGTTAGGCTAAAATGTTTTGTTCGTTCTAAAATATAGATTAGACTAAGCCATCAAATGTTTTTTTACTTTGCCCGTAGGGCCAGACTAGCCTGGGCTGAGCCGCCCCTTTTGACATCTCTAGGTAAGGGTAATGAGAAAGTATTCATATGATATTGACAATATAAGACTAATTAGGATTTATCAAAAGCTGATCAAGTATGAAATCAATACATTTGCTATGGAAATGGAAGAGTGGTAGCGATTATTGATGGAAAGATATGGTGAAATAAAACTAGCACAGATCAAACATTGGTTTTCATCAATATGAAAAGTGTATAATATGGTGCCTAGGGAGTTATTGTGGAATTCAGGAGAAGAAAGGAGTTCATATTGTTTACATTCAAGCAATCAAACATGCAAGAAGGTGGGAAAACACCAGACCACATAAGATATTCCTATAATTGTTGAACCGCATTAAGGGCAACAGCAAGCCCTATCTTTTTAACCTGGTTTTGATGGACTTACTGAGCAGTGAATGATGCATACTTTATTTAGATAAGGTCCTAGAAGGGCAGCCCAGAAAAGAAATAAATTAGTTAAAGATGTGAAGACAAGCTATGAAAACACATGGATGTTGTAGAATTAGAACAGAAAACATAAATAAGTTTAGCAGAAGGCACACTAATTCCAGCATAGAAGTGAAGATTTGATATTATGCCATACTATATAAGTCACATGGTATAAGAATCTTTTGTCAACCATATAACATTGACAGGAAAATAGAGGGAGTAGTAAATCATAAGATTCAAGTGGGGTGGATGAAGGGGAGGAGAGCTTCAAGTGTTATTTGTTGTACAAGTAAAAAGTACCATCAAGTACTAGGAAGAAATTGCATATTAACCATACAGCCTACAATGATATGTAGAACTGAACGTTCATCTGTAAAAGGCTAACAACAAAGAAGCTCAATGTTGCATAGATGAGAATGCAATGATGGACTAGGGGATGCACATCGAAGTAGCATTGAAAAAAAAGTGGATTAGAAGTAAAGTTGGGAGTAACGCCTACTTTGGAAAGGATGATATAATCTTGCCTTAGGTGATTTGGGTATGTTTGAAGAAGACTTATAGAAGATCCAATGAGAAAATTAGATCAAATGGAGGGTAGACAGTAATTCAGAGGAGAGGGAAAACAAAAAAAAAAACAAGTCATACTATTAATAACGATTTAACTAGATTATTAAAATAATTTTTTGTTTATAAAGATAATGTACACTAAAACATAATGACATCATCTGATCCATGTCGCTGACCTGACGAAGTGGGAAAAGGCATTTGTTGCTTTTATCATCGCTACCTCAAAATTAAGTTTCAAACTTCTACTTTTCGCAGTGATGTACAATCTTACACCAAATGTTTAACATACTCATTTCATACACCTACGACTTAAAACAGCCCCCAAAAGCCTTGTGTCACATCAATATTCCATCCACAACATATAATATATCCAAAAACCTCAGGGGATAGCCTAATCCGAGAGCAACCGGCGACAGAGAAACACATTTTCAAATCTCCCAAAGTACCAGCCCCAAAATCTCAAATTCCAGACACACGCGTTAATAAAATCAGCAGTAAATTAATCACAATTCCTCGCCATACACAAATTCAAACCCACTCCCAAAGGAGAATTCGCACACAAACGAGAAACCTAAAAATGAAAGAAATATATAAAACAAGACCCAAGTTCGAATTTGAGAACTGCATAGAAAAAAAAAGTATATAGAAAGGGAGAGATTTCCCTTACCTAAGTTATTTAACCCGCTTTCGGCATATCCTCCAAACCCTAGAAAAACCCACTTCTGGATGCAATTTCCAAAACTCAGATAAGAAAAAAAACCAAAAAAATTACAAAAAGAAAAATAGCAAAGTATATTCACCTCTGAGTAGGAGCAATTTGGTAAAAAGATGCATAGAAAAGTAGCAGCAGTTGTAATAAGGGAGGAGTTGCAATTGTGAAATTGCAAGGATTGGAGTGATAGATATGATATCATTCATGACAGTGTTTCTTATACATTTCAGGACAATCATTGAATCACACAGCATTGGTGAAATCAAAATATGAAGGTCCACTCATTTTGCGACACATGTCATGTGATGTCACTTCCACATAACTGGCAAAAGGAGAGATAGGAAGTGGGGTCACACATGGTGACATGGCATTGGGATCATGGAGGGTTATTTTCGTAAAATGCCATGTGCGACTTGCTTTGAACAGTAAAGATAAACACAAAGATTTATCGGTCACAAGAGTCCAAAGTTTATAGGAATGATTTTATCGACACATGATGCCACCTGTCAGATCAATGTTTTTTTTTTTTCATTTTTTTTGTCAACAAAATTATTTGTTCAGCAATTTTGCTTTTGATTTTTGCAATTATACATAGTTTGGTAAGAATTGAAAATCGTAATTTATTATGCTAATCAAGTTTAACAAAATGAAAATCTGTTCGATTTTTTTTATTTTTTTAGGATTATGATGTTTATAATATAATATGAATCTGAAACATGATCAAACATATCTGTCTAAGTGTAAAAATAGTTGTTTAAAGTTATTGCTAATGTTTTACTATAGCGAAAAATATTAATGGTGTGTGATAGTTCATTTAATCACAAAGCTATTATATATAATAAATTTAGAAATTGTTACATCAAATATCTTAAAATTACATTAACAATATATATTTAATTAATTAACAGTGTAATTTTTTTTATAATGTCAATGCTAAACTTTAAGTTATTTTCATACTTAAGATTATAATCTGTGTCGTTTGAAACACGCACAGTAGTGAAGATAAACTCTTTTCTAATTTGGGAAGAAAACGAAAGGAATAATTTGAAGAATTATCATGTAGTGACAGAAATATCCTTACATTCTTATTATATTGTATAATAAGAGTTTAAATGTTATTTAATACAATTATATTTTTTTTATCTATTCGAACAAGTAAAAGGTAATGGTGAAAAAGAGACTATATTATAAAGAATAGTTACAGTTTTGATGTCGAGGTGAAAAAGTTAAAAATCTGAAATAAGAGAGAATGGAATTTGAAATCCTCATTCTGAAGTATGTTTTCCACAATGCCTTCTTATCAATAAAAGCTTTTTAGTATGCAGAATTGAAATTTCACAAGTTCAAAGCACTTTTCATTTACTGGCTAAAAGCCAAATCCAAATCCATGCTATCATTGTTTAATTCAAAAGACAAAATTCAACAACAACAGGTATAATGATGAGTGAAGATAGCATATGGTGCAATTTAATGAGTGGTGGTGAACAGAGATTCCTCTTTCAACTCTACACACCCATATCTTCTACAAACAAGACAAATCTATCTATACTTTCTGCTGAACCAACAGCTTGCTGGCTCACATTTACTAACACAAGCTTGGATTTATTTTCCTATCATTTCCTTACAAAGTAAAATAAATCTAGAAAAATTCTACCCAGATCAATTGACAATGTTTGCAGAAGTCCTTTTCTCTTCAAGAGAGATCATAGTTTCAAAGGCATCAATCAATGCTTTAACCTTGCCCTTCTGAGTTTCAACAAGTTTACTTGCTGTTACCTCAATCACATTATTATACAATCCTTGTCCATCTTTCTTGACCTCCACATCTTGACGTCTCAACAACACCTTCTTTTGACCAGTTATAGCAGCATCCTTGGCATCAGTTGCATTATCCCTTGACACTTTTCCTCTCTCGAATTTATCAAGAATTTTTAGATTATCTTTGTCAATTTGAATTTCAGCCAATTCTCCACTCAACATTTGGCAGTCATTGTCTACATAAAAAACAACTTCATCATCCATTTGAGGCTTCCCATTATTCTCAGTTTCCAATGTGCCCACATTAGCCTGGAACTCAATTTCATGGTTTTCTGGAAAAGCATCCGCCTCAAATTCAGTATTCGAATTTGCATATTCTGATTCCTCTTGGTCTTCATGGGATGAGGTTTGAGAAATTGAGGAGGGCGAAAACTTGGGTGATGATAACGAATTAGAAAGGAGCATTTCAATAACCTGGCTTTCGTTCTGATGAGATTGAAAACTTTGGTTTGCACTTTCCATCTTGATGACATACAAAGTCTTTTCCTTAGCCTTGTTGTAGTGTTCCTCAGGTTCTACTTCTATAGGATTGGGTTGATTCATGAGGTGAGTCACAATTTTCAGGCCTTTGTGCTTTCTTGCACTAACGCTTCCAATGCCTCCGGAGGAAGACTTGGGTGAGGTTTCTCTCTTTTTCATCTTAATCTTACTAATCCTTTGGCCACCAAGGCCCTCAGAAGAATTCAAAGAAGTCACATGCTTTTCGGACAACTCCATTTCTTTATCTTCAAAAGAAGACACCTTTGATGAAGCCTGCTTCATCGTGGACATAGATTTTGATGAAGCTTTCACTATTTGGGAAGTTAATTTTGGATTACGTTTCACCCTCTCAGAAGTTGCTGCCGGCGAAGATTCCACCCTTTTGGATGTTGGTTTTGATGGAATTTCCACTTCAAAACTTGAAGAAATTGCCCTCCTCCTTGTTGCTGCCGGTTTCAATGATGCTTTGCCTGTGTTTGCCAGAACTTCTTTCCCTATTTGCTTTTGGCTGCCAGATGATTTTGATATGGGTTCCACCCTATTTGTGTCTGAGACATCAGAAATCTGAAGCACAGAATTAAGTGATTGACTGCGTTTCACTGCTGACATCTTTGTTAGGTTGGAATCAAGTGATGCTTTTTGTTTGGCAACTGATATAATTATCCCACCAATACTGTCTTCTGAACTTAGGGAAAGTGATTTTCTTCCAGTTCTCTTAATCATGGAGAGTTTCTCCTTTGCTTCCTCTACATTCTTCCTCCCATATTTACAAAAATCATGACAGGAGCCAGTAGATGCTCTGAGATAATGAGGAACAACAACTTTTTTTTCAATATTCCCAGAGGTTGCTATTCCAACAGAGTGCCTTCTTAATTCATCACCACTTGACATTGTCACTCCTGGGACCAGAGGTCAATCACTCTTGCCTTGGCTATTCTGGATGAGATGAGCTATGCAGAACAAATCTGCGGCAAATATCCTGAAGAATAAGAAACAAAACTACTTTTAAACAAAAGCAAAAACAAAATATATGCTAGTAAACTACTAGCAAAAGCAATATCTTCAATGGCCTACTCAATATTTCAGTCGAAGCACATAATCAATATCTTCAATTTAAAGATTAGGAAGCAACAAAATTTATCAACCATGCTTCAAAATTAAATACAAGAGTATGTCAGATAACAAGAAAAGTACCATTCTCATAGCACAATCTTTGGAAGCTAACAAAAACAGAATATGTTTAGGCAAAAGAATTCATAGCGTTCAACAAAATAAATGATTTTATAATTTGAAACTCAAATAAGGTTTCCTAAACTCTTAAACACAAAACGCTAAGGCACCAAAGAAACTAGTGTGGCACAAGTCATACAGCATCTAACAATATCAGATTTACTTGTTTTACAAATGATTACATTCCATACATTAAAACAATGTTATTGTAAAAATAAGTTACATGAAACAATAAATATAACACGAACCAGTCATAAAGGAGTAAATATACAGAAAGGAAATGAACCCATCAAAAACTGAAAAAAAAAGAAGCTATGACCTTGTTTGGTTTGAAGCATCATATTCTATTTTCGCTCGTTGTTTGGTTTCAATGGCTTTAATATATTCCCGCGTCACAAAGAGGTCAGAGAGAGCTAAGGGTCAAAGCAAACAATACTAGCTTTTGCGTTTTCTTAAGAATTCTAACATGAATTTGATTCAAATGTGAAGATTAGGGCAAATCCAAATATATTAATCAACAAATAGTATTCTTACATCTAACCTGCGCTTTTTCTGAAAGTATAAGTGTCTCAATTATGCATCTACAGGCTTTAACTGACCCTATTGAAAAAAGGCACGTATCAAGCACATCAATAATGAAACCAAAGCACCAAATCAATCATCTAAGAGAAACATAACTAGAAGATTATATTACAAGCAGGTACATTTTATGATAATCAACTTAAACTATGCTTAAGAGGTAATAAAGTGCTATAAATATTCATCCAAAACAGAAAGTGGGATGATGATGCATGCATCACTTGATCACCCATTTCATGCAAACACAACACACACAATTGAAGAAATTCACATTCAAATTCTATATACAGCATTACCTTAAGCCGATTCTTCAAGCTTCGGAACCCACAGCTCGCAACCGTAAAGACGAAGGAAACTTCTCAGCTGAACACACTCCAAAACGAAACTAATCCAAGACAATGCTGCAGAGATAGATAGACATGATCTTAAAATCCACCAAAATCACATTTGTCAGCAAACCCGCTTGTTTATGGGAGAAAACTCACGAAACCCAGATGATAATATTTTTAAACCAACGTACCTTTGTTTTATACGTTCACACCGGAGCTTCAGAAACAAAAGGGTGCTTTAACAGAAGCGAGGAAAAGGGGAACAGAACGTAACAAAGCGAATACTTTGCCACCCCTTTTGAAGTATTATTCTTTTGGATGAGAACGTGCGTGCAAGAAAGTAACAGCTTCTGGTTTTGTTACTTCTGGTTCGTCGTTGAGCTTGTTACTTCACTACGCGTTGCGTTTGTTATGTTATTGTAATTGTAATTATATAGAACAGAAAATAGAATATAATCTAAAGAAAATGGAGAAAAAAAATGTTATGCTTTGGATTTTTAGGGTCCCATTTGAAATCTGAATTCTTTATTAGAATTCGAATTTGAATATTTAAGTCATTCATGAACCTGTGTAACCGGTTAAGGAATGCATTTTCAAACTTTTCAAGCATTAAAAAGAAATTTGATCTAAATGTATTTTTAAAAATTGTTAATATGGAAAATTAATTTTGGATTTGAATTATTTTTTTATTCAAAATTCATTTTTTATATGAAATTAAAATTATTACTTTCTTTAAAAAAAAGGAGTGAAATTCCTTTTGCACTTTTTTCGCTAAAAAAGGCTTAATTTAAAAAAAATATTAATAATTTTTCAAAAATACACTCACTTTAACACAATTATTATTCAATTAAAGTTAACCAAAAATACAAAAATACAAAAATATATAGTCCACAATATTCGAACTTTTAACGAAATAAGAAATATTAGCAAATACATTTTTATTATTATTTAATCCAAATTTTCCAAAAATCATAAATATGTGGTCTACATCTTGTCATTTAATATTATCACATCAAATGAATGTTTTCTTTAAATTCATTTGATATTATCATTGATTCGATCATTTAATATTTTTTCAGTTGAATTTTGAATGAACATAACGTTTGGTTAACGGCATGTTGTTACAAACGGTAAAAAAGATGCTATGTTAAGGCATAAATCCAGAATTTATTAGGAACGTGTTCTCTAAATTGGTTTCAAATTCATTTTGCAATAGTTTTGAGGTTTCATGTGATGGATTAGTCATTCACCATAGAATTTTGCTCAAGAAATTTCCCCAATTGGTATGTAGCATATTAATTTGTGGATATGAAACTTGAAACTTCTAAATGATATCAAAGGGTTAAAAGACATGTCAAATATATAAACCTACTTGATTTTTTTATTTTTTTTTAAGTTGGTGGATTGTGTTTAAAGTGTCCAAAACTTTACTGAAAATTGTCAATAAGAATTAGTTAAGAATAAAAATAAAATAAATATTTTATTATCAATCTCAATTTTAAACTGCTTAAAATAAAAAAATACTTAAAAATAAAAAAAATATTTATATAAACTAATTAAATTTTAAACAACTTCTACATGACTCGTAGTAAAATATTTATACATGTTCTTAAACAATTTTTACTAAAATTTTAGGTAATAAATATAAATTAACATGACATAATCTAACTATATTTAATAAAAATGTTATTTTTTTAATAATTTTATGTTTTATTAAATATTATTTGTTATTTATGTGTATATTAAGTATTGTCAAAGACTTTTTAAGAAGTGATAATTTTAAAATTATTTAAATTAATTATTCAATGATAAAATATAATATTTAAATTGGTTTTTAAAATATGGTTTGAATTTTAAATTTCTTAGCTGAACTAAACGTAACTTTTTCAGATATGATTTTAAGCCAACATAAACTTAAGAAGAAACCAGTAAAATCCTAAAAAAAGCAAACTTTTTATTGGATTTGAGGTTCAATTTAATATTTGAACTGAATTTAGGTTTTTTCTCTTTTTACCCTCTACTAAATAACTTTCACACCACATGAGAAAAAAAAATTAGGGAGATTAATATGTAATTAGTTAAAATAATGAAATTTCCAAAACTTTATATGAAGTCTAAAAGAATAGCAACAAAATTATGGTGAAAGAGAACAAAGAAAGGAACTTTCAAGGAAAAGGAAATGGTCAAGATGGTGGTTTGCTAAGACCAAACACTTTTCTTAATTGTATCCTCCATAATTTCTTAATGCGTTTCAATAATAATAATAATAATAATAATAATAATAATAATAATAATAATAATAATAATTATTATTATTATTATTATTATTATTATTATTATTATTGTTATTATTATTTTTCAATTAAATACACTATATCTTATATGTGAATACTACCTAGATTTTTCTATTTATTCAATAATTAGTGTGCAATGTATCTTAAATAATTTGATTTCTAATATAATTAAAAATATTTAAAATAAGTTTGCAAGTAAAATAAAAATATAATTAAAGTAAATTACTAAAAGATAAATAATATAAAATAAATTTAATTCATTATTAAGGATACAATATGAATTGTTATAAAAAATCAATAAAAATGACGATCGAATTTATAAAAAATCTCTATTAAAAATATTTGTTTTGTAGTGTTTTTTAAAATACAAGTTTTCGATAATCATTCTTTTTATATTTATTCTATTATATTTATATTTTATTATATGTAACTGTTAGAATAAAAACTAAAAAAAAATAAAATAAAGTCAACTAAAATACATAAATTTGTGAATAAAATCCATGGTTATTTTGTTATAATTGTTTTTTTTTTTAACTCAGGTTGGCATGTATCACCTAATGGATATATATTTCATAATGAAATAATAATTTTCTTTGTATATTTTTCGATTGTTTAACTTATTTGTAATTTATTTTCAATGTTTAATGTTGACTGATCGCACAATCTTTAATGTTGGACTAATAGTACAATATCATTTTATTTTTCTATTTATTCCTTAATCTTCGAACATTTCCTAAATATTTACAATTTATACCTTTTGATCTATAAATTTTAATTTGTGTTTACCTTCAATTCTCTTTAGTTAATATGGATTCTCAACATACATTTATACTATTACCAATGTCAATATTAACAACCATGTCCTAAATTTTAATTCGCTGAATCATCCCAGACATTATTTTCCTTTTCAGTAACCTAGTTTGTAGTGATATTTAATCCTTGATTGCACACTTAAATTTGCATTCCTCCCAACATGTTATTTTTCATGAAATGAAACCAAAATATAATACTTAATACGAATTTAAATTAGGACGATTCTGGTACGCCTAATTTTTTTTATATAGAAATCGAAATTAATGGTAATTTATAAATACTATGTTACCTTAACCAGCTAAGACATCATAATCCTCAATTGAGGCTTGTTCGCACCCTGAATAGATTAAATGTCGAAATAAGTGATAAAGTTAAAAACAAATCGATTAAAAAGGAAAGAATGAAGAGAAATAGACTACTCTGTGGTCACGTTACTTCTCAATTATGGGAAAAATTGTGGATTGGTGAGAAACAGACTAACTTTTTAGTCCCACTTGGTGGACGCAAGTTCATAACTCAAGCATGTAAATATATACTTTTAACATATTTAAAGAAATTTCTCCATAAATATTTTAAAGTAGAAAGATAAGAACACAATATTTTTTATAAATTTAAATTATTTTATACATTAGTTAAATTTTAAAAATTATATTACATTAATATTTTATTATTTTCTCTCATTTTCTCTTCTCGATTCCTCCTTCACATACAGCGGCAGTGAAGTTAGATGTTAACAACCAAATCTATTAACACCTGTTATACATCAAAATTGAATTGAGTCCCTCTTGAAAATGGGGATTTTAGGATTTAATCTCTCTTACCAAGCCATGAGACATTTCCTATGCCAAATATCCATTTTTTTATATGTATATTTCTCAAACTAATTAATAAACCTAAAAATTATATTTCTTAATCTAATTTTTTTTTTCATATTTTTCTCTAATTTAAAAAGCCTATCTCTTAAAATTCTTTAATAAAAGATACAACAAGTGTCTGAACAAATCGATGCAAACTAATCGGGAAATTATAAGCTCAAAAAGTTGTCCAGGCGGGGCACCCTTGTTCGATTTATATAAAAATCTGAACACACATTACTTTCGTTATCTTTTAAAAAAATATATTTTCCTTCTATATTTTTATTTACTTCTTAAATTTAAACCATACAAGTCAATTGTATCCAAAACTTTCTGTATATTTCCCCCATCCTAAAGAGACACTTAAATTTCTAGACTGCTTCCTATTGAGTTTCTGAGGAAGTAAATACTTCATATGCCACCATACATAAAAAGATACGGTCTCTAACTATAGTGCAAGACCTTTTCCAGTAGCAACCGTCGGAAATATCACTTACAATAATGCATACAATGTTTCACATGTAGCCAGGTCAACAACTTTACTGATAATAATATTACAAATTACAATTAGAAAAAAAAAATTTAAAACTGTAAGCAATGTTAATAAAAATAGCTTTCTCTTATTGATCCATTTCATAACTACAATACATCAAGGTGTTCCTCTGATATCAGATAAAGCAACCATTTGGCACAGGAAATGGCAAAATAATTATTCATTACCTTAATCACTCCATGGCCTTGGTCGTCATCAAAATAGTATGTGTCAAAAACTGATATCCCTCCTCCCAACCAGTCAAGCTCAACTGGAGATAAAAATCCAAAAAGTGTTCTGAGATTGACTGGGGCTATATATAAGATAAATGATACAAATTGTAAATGGAGATGTTGGCTAATTGCAAATTAGAAAACACCGAATGAAGGGGGCCACAAGGGGAGGCAAACTTACATTCACAATGCTTGCAGCAAAGCAGAAGATATACAACCTCAATCTCAATTGATAATTTCCCTGACAAGCCAATCCAAACTAGGATATGCAAAGTACAGGATGAGAAATGATGGCAGAGCAAACAGAATGGTAACAAGTATATACAGAGCCAAAATGGCTGCACTGGCTGGAATTGCATACAAGACAATCAAAAGAAAAATAATGATCAATGGGAACTTTGCAGTCAAGTGAACAAATAAAACCAGTGACTTCCGAAGAGAAGCATGCAATGTTTCTATACTTAGATAATTCCTGGTACTGCCATGATACTGATTGGAAATTGACGACTCTGGATGGCAAACTTGTTCTCTCTGAAGGCTGCCATGGCTTGCTTGGCTTCCTGTAGTTAAGCTGTCTTTAACTGGCCAGACTAGCTGATGATCCCCGCTAACAGTAGAATGTGACTTCACTCTATCACCGTTCATGCTCTCAACCATCCAAAGAAGAAAGTAGTTCTTGCGAGGGAATTTCAGATTTCCCCGGTACACTAAACGGAGAGACAAAAGGTTGCACCATGGGCAGGAGATAAACAGTGGAAGTTGAATTGGCAGTGTTGGAAATTTCACCACAGCCCATTGTAATCCAAGGATGCAATTTTTACAAAGTGTGTGACCACACCATAAGACATAAGGCACATTTTCAACAATGTTAAAGGATTCCCAGCATATTGGGCATTCCAGCCTTTCCTCCCTGCTCACGATAGAAGTTTCGTCGTCAGAATATTCTGAAGCAGAGTGAATTGACTTTAAAGAATCATTTTTCAGACCCACACTTCCAGCAATGATACTAGATGCAAAGTTCCACATTGTGATTCACTTTACAATACTATAGAAATGACCAGGAATCAGGCATCATTTGGACTTCAATGTGGTCATTAATGATGAAATCAAAGCATCAAGTCCAAAGCATATAATTTGTGGCAGAGGTGTACCAAGTTTAAACCTAAATCAAAACAAGTGTTAGAAAACACACTGCAACACTTTCACATTATACTGAGAAATGCTGTACTAACGAAAATGAAACATTAGTTAAACTAGATGTTATACAAATACTTATATAAACATGTAATATTGTACATGCACTTCAAACAGATTCTACAAGCATTATGAACAATGATGCACAAATATGACACAGATAGTATTCAATAATACTGTAAGCAATAAAAAGTAGGGGATTCTGTAAAAATTTCAGCCCCAAACTAAGTAGATGCTTAGCATGAGGCAAATATATCAACATAGAACTTCAAACCCGACAAGAAATTAGAATAGAACCCCTAAGGCAATGTATAGGCAGGGCGTTGAAAGGAAAAACGAAATGAAATTGGGTATAATGATACATAATGATGTGAGTCTTCAAAATCATTTCCAAACATGGGAAATTATGACGTTTAAATTATCATCCAGTAATCCTCCATTTTCTTTCATTTTTATACGAACGGTTTTGTCATAATTAACTTCTTAAACCACATCGCATCAGAGCATAACACTAACATTCAATCAATTCATGACAGCATCAATACCAACAAGTGAATACAAACTTACAGATGAGAAAACCGAAGCAGGTGATTAAAACGGAAATAAATGTCTTGTTTTGAAGAAAAAAGAACCCTAATTGAAGGAAATGAGAGAGAATATGAAATGAAACGACAATAACCGCTAAAACAGGAGAGGAAATAGAAGAACGCACCGAAGGTGGAAGCGATTGCACGCAAAACTCATGACGCAACGAGAGATTGGAATTTTTCTTCACAAAAAAAGAAAAAAAAAAGAAAAAGGTTAAGGAAAAGGCATTACCATGTATTTTTTTCACAGTTTAACCAAAATTAAAATGTATTGAATAAAATGGTTTGATATTTTAAATTATTTGTCCGTAAAAGTTTAAATATTTTATTTAAATAGACTATTTTAATTATTATTAAATATAAAAAGTTATTTTAATAGTAATTGGTGGTAATATATAAAATAATAACATTTAGTTAGACTGCGTGACTCGCGATGAAAAGTAAATTTCAAATTTGATTTTTAAGTACAATTTAAAATTTTACAATTTTAAGATGTATTTTCATAAATTTTTAAAGTTTAGTTTTTCTTTTTGAAATTATCTTAACAAAATATTATTTCCTAAAACATTGCAAGTAATGGTTATTAAAAAAATATTTCTTTTATATGTCTACAGTGAGAATTTCAGCATTTTCAAAACAAATATTTTTCAACGATAAAAGGGTATATTTGGTAATAGTAAAAAATAGAGAGGAAAGTGGGGTGGAATGAAAATTTAGGGAAGTTTAAATAGTAAAACAGATTGAGATTTCCTGGAGTGAGGCCCAACTATACTGCATTCTCGTGGGCTGAATTGGAGTATAGAATGTGTTGTAAACGAACATGGGTATATATATATATAGATAGATAGATAAACACTGTAACTTAGTCTCAGTGGCAATCATGAAAATTGAACCAACTTTAAAATCATGAATTGGTTACAATAATTGGGCGGAGTGGGTTCAAATTTCATATGATTATCAATTTTTTCTTTTTCAATTCAATCAATTACTCATTTTAAAATATAACATGTTTCCTTTATTATTTTTTTCTTTTATTAATATTCGTAACTACGTATGAAAAAGTACTTGCATAAAATATTAAATATATTTTAACTACGTATTAATATTATTTTTATATTCATTGTGCTAAAAAAAATACTCGCATAAAAAATATTCAATATGCTAACTCATCTTTAAATTAATATTTTAAAATAACATAAATTCTAATTAACATATATTAAGTATAAAATAGAGTATTGATAATGATAGTCATCAGCTAGTGAAATTTTTAAATTATAATCAATTATTTAACAACAATTATAAAATACTTATTGTCAAATATTGAAGCGAGTAGTTACTATTGTATATTCTATACCATATTCTTGCTTACCCTTTTTTCTTATTTTCATCGCACATATCCTCCTTCCTCCATCGTTTTGTCTGTGTCATGCCTTCCTCAACCTCTTTTGCCCCTTGACCCTCTTCATTCTATCTCACCTCTCTTTTCTCCCCCTTGCTTCCTCCCTCTCTCCCGCAATTGACTCTTTTTTTACAATCCTCTCTCGTGGTAGTTCATCTCTTGTGATGGCACTATCATGCTTTCTCTGGAGGTGGTTTCATGGTGGGCCTATGGAAGTAGCGTCCACATGTGGTGTGTGGTCTGTGGGAGTAGCACCAGCGTGTGGGTGGAGTGGTGGTACGTGTGGTGGTATGTGACGAGCCTGTGGTGGGTTGTCGTGTTGTGAAAAAAGTTTTATGGAGTTTATTCTTCCCTTTGTTATTGGTGTTGTGCACGTGAAACTTACTTCGCCTTCCTTCTTTTCCTCCCATGAGAGTTCATTCTTTCTCTCTAAGTAATTGTTTTGACTTCCTATGATTATGATTGTATAAATTGATTGTTTGCATTATGATGATTGACATTAATATTTGACTTTTTTTTGAACGAATTTGTGTTGAGTTTGTGGAGGTTCAGTCTCTAGCAAATTGCATTGTTGACTAAATTATGTAATTAGGTATCCATTACATAATTTAGGAATGAATAAAAGTTAGATTGCATGAAAAGTGAAAGAATTTTGACTATTTGCATAACGTAACACTTTAACCAATTATACTAATGGAAGATTTAGGTGTCCATGTATTAATTGTCTTAGTGGAAGATTATTAAAATGTTGAAAAAATTATGGAGCATATTTTATGTGATATTTTCTTAAAAATTATATAACTTGGGTATGGTATGATGAATTATTAGATTTGTCAATCGTAAATGAATATGATAATGTAGTTGATTCAACCATGATGATCGAATGGAGGACATAATTTGTGATGTTGGAGTATAATTTTTTGCTCAAGCGTATGTATAAGAAGATATGTGTAGCGACATAGAGACTTTACTTTATTCTAGTTTAACTAACTTCATACGATTGTCAATAATGTTAAGATTGATAAATTTGAACGCAATGAATGGAAAGATTGATAAAAATTTCACTTAATTGCTTCAATTGTTGAAGGACATGTTTTCAGAAGGAAATACACTACTTAATCATAATTATAAGGTGAAAAATATACTTTGTTCAATGGGTATGGAGTATTATTAAGTCTAAAACTTACAAATAGATAGAAAGAATGAATCGAGAAAGGAGATATTTGATAGTTAGAAAGAATAAATATAAAAATCGAGAAAGACATATTATGGAGGTAGAAGAGTAATCAATATGAGTTTTCGAAGAAGTCAAAGCATCAACAAATCGAGAATCGAGAAATTAAAGAGTAAAGAACATCGAAGTACAAATACACAATATATCGAATAAACAATATATCGAGAGGAAGTTATAGTGGAGGATCTTCGAGTGGTGTATCGAGAGATTCATGGAGACAGTTATAATATAATTCCTTGGTATGTGTAGTTACGACAAAGTGGAGTGAAGAGAAATAGTTACAAGAAAATAACCATTCAAAAATTCTAATTTATAGTTTTATTTTTTATTTCCATTATTATTCTTGTTTTTATTTTTATCTTTATGACACACCTTGGCGATTAAAAAAATGACATATATAGGATAAAATAAAGGTAAATAAGGGTGATTGTCATATTGTACAACTTACATTCTAAAAAATGCTACAAATTGGAACAAACATTTTTAATGGAGTTCTTTGCAATTTTGATCGCCACTTTAATTGATTTTCTCAATCAGTTTTTGTTTTATCCTTAGTAATATGTTAGATTTATTTTCCTTGCACATTTACTTTTAAGCAATTTATTTTACAGTTTTGTACTGTTCTTACAATTTACTTTAAATATTTCAGATTGTATTAAACATAAAAATTAAATATGAACGATCCTTAATTGAAATCTATTGTGTATTACATTTTGAATGAAATTAAGAACCCATATAATGTTTAAGTAATTCATTGTGTAAACTTATTAATTATATCGAACAACAAATTATTTACGCTAGAAACAAATTGGCACGTCCAATGAGACAATCTACCTTATAGAATGCATGATATTGAGAAGTGGTAGAGTTATAATGACAAATCAAAACACACAAACTTCAACACCGATTTCTACAGTAATACCTAATGTTGTAATAAATACTAATGAAAGTCAAAATGTGGGACACGAGAGTGAAATTTTTCAGGGCGTACATAGTAATCCTAATATTGGTAGTCAAAGTGGTCAAGAAACAATTCAGCCAATAAATAACACGATAAGCAATACTGATATAGGACCACATATGATTAGTGGGAACACGTCAGTCCAGAGAAATAATCAAGGGATTCCAATGGTGGAAAGGTATTCCTGGGGAATGCCATCATGACAACCAACTCCAAATTCTAGTAGGATAAATGATCAAAGTCAGAATAAGTTGAGATTGGGAAATGATAGGGAGAATAATAGTGTTGAATATAAAGGAAATAGGGTTTGAGATTAATCTCCCTTATGTATAAATTACACATAGGGTAATCTATTTATAATAGAGAGAAGTACAACTAAAAGAGTAACCAAATGTAAACAGAATAAACAGAAGATATTGTTTGATATTGTGGTTAACAATATCTAACAATATCAAACAATATATAAACAATATCTAACACTCCCCCTCAAGCTGGAGCATACAAATCGTATGTACCAAGCTCGTTACAAATATAATCAATTCTAGGTCCCCATAAAAACTTAGTAAAAATATTTGTTAACTGATCAATTGAGTTAACAAACTCAGTCTTGATGTCTCCAGACATAATCTTTTCTCAAATGAAATGACAGTC